AAATAGCCTTCCTCAGCGATGAGTCGCCTAATTTGTTTTCCAATACCGAGCAGTCAGCCCTGAAATCAAGTACATACAAGTAGCACTAAATGGAGTCAGAAGATTGAACTTACCTATTTATTGTATTGTGAGTGTGTAGATAGATAGATCGATTGATCGATCGTCGATAGATAGATGATAACACAGTTAAAGAAAAAACATGACTTTGAAAGGTAGCAAAGGGGATATGGAGACATGGGAGGGTTTGTAGAAAAGAAAGGGGAAAAAAGGAATTATGTCATTATATTTTAATTTAAATTTTAAAAAATGAAATACTTTTTAAACACTAATTTTTAGAAATTCCATGTGTATAAGTGTTTTGCCTGCAGGTACGTGCACCATATAGGGGTCTAACGTGTGCAGAATCCAGAAAGAGTGACTGTTTCCCAAAACTGGAGTTATGGACTCCACCATGTGGGTGATGGGAATCCAACCAAAGTCCTCTGAAGGAGTAGAAAGTGCTGAGCCCTCCCTCCAGCAAAACAAAAAGATAATAAAATTGATGTCACCAACTTTTGTTTCTTCTGTTGTGGCCTCTTGGATCTTGGCTATGTACTTAATACATACTGGAGATTTTTCTACAGCAAAACCCGGAGTATTAATTAGAATTGAACCAAATATTTAAAACATGCTACAAATACTTGAGAGATTTATGAATATTCAGAGGCACTATAAATTTTTATTTTGTTATTTCTAATGTTTCCTGGATAATGACCTGGTAAGTTCCACACAGGTGTGCTTAGTGTTTCCTCACAAATGTTTTTGCCGTGCTTCTGCTGTTAATTTAACTGCACATTTATGAAAATTTTTTTTCTGCTAGTCAATCATCTTTAGCAATATAATAGCATTTGTAATTAATGATACACTAGTATGCTAACAATACTCCTATTAAATGAACATCAAATTATCTTTATTTTATATGCACATAAACTTATCACCCTTTATGAGGTTATTACTATGTATGCATTTTCTATTTTCATTTGTAGGAGGAGTTTACTCATTGGGGCCACTGGTCAGCTTTGTCCTGTCAGTTGACACCCAAATAACCACACAGAGATTTATTATTAATAATAAATGCTCATGACTCCTCCCTTTTTCTTCCTCATGATATACTTTTATCCACAAGTTATGCCTAATTTCTACTTGCATAGCTATTGGCCCTTTATATTAAGCAAATGAGTACAAATATTCAGTGTACAAAGAGATTGTTCCCCAGAAAACATATAACACACACACACACAATTGCAATCAAATAAACCTAAGTTTGTGCACAGGGTGAGTAAAGCATTTAAAAAATTCTCCCTCTGTTTAATTTCAAACAGAGACTGAAAAACATTTTTCAATTTTGAGTCCCATCTTAAATAACTCCTTGCTACTTCTTTTTTTATTGTTTTTAAATACTTTTTAATTTTAGAAGCACTCTTATTTACATATCAATCCCCTCTCCTCCAATCCTCCCATGCTCCCCACTGACCCCCCAACCCCTCCCCTGCCCATTCCCCAGGGATAGTGAGGCCCTGGGACCACCAAAGTCCATCAAATCATTTGGAGGAGGGCTCTGGCCCTCCTTCCCGTATCTAGGCTGCAATAGTATCCCTCCATAGGAAATGGGCTCCCAAAGTCCATTTGTGCTCTGTTACAGGTCCCATAGACTGCTCTGGCCTCCTAGCTGGCACCCACATTCACAGGGCTTGGTTCAGACCCATGCTGGTTCCCCAGATTTATAACTAGGGTCTGCATGCTCTCACTAGGTCAGGTCAACTGTTTCTGCGGGTTTCTCCAGCACCATCTTGGCTCCTTTGCTCATCCCTCCTCCCTCTCGGCAAGTGGATTCCAGGAGTATGGCTCAGTGCTTAGCCCGTTTCTTCTTCGATCAGCTACTGGATGAAGGCTCTAGGAATGTCAACCAAGGTGGTCGTCAATCTCATTATAGGATAGGGCATCAAAGGCAGCCTTTCCACCACTGCCTAGATTCTTAGTTGGGGTCATCCATGTGGATCAACTGACATTTCCCCTGTACAGACCTCTCTCCAAACCTGTACTGGGTCCCTCTATCAAGGCTTCTCCTTTCTTGCCATCCATGCTACTTCTTACCATTAAAATCACCATTTTCAAGCCCTAAAATGGTCTGAGGACCTGACATGTATTCACAAACTGTGATCAAACCTCATTCACCAAATAAGTCAAATTGTGTGCACAGGAATACAGAAGTGCTGTGGCTGTGTGGTGTTTCTTCACAGGAAGAAGAGACTAACCTCAACATTATAAGTCTCAGAGACAGAAATTATACAGACTTCTCTACTTTCAGTTGCAAATCATTGCACAGAACAAGGCCACACTTTCTAATTGAGTAGAAAGAAGGCTTTGATTCAAGAGACACAGGACCTCCCTTCTCTTCCCAGGACTGTGAGTGTACATGCTTATGCATGTGTTTATAAAAAACTGTTTTCCAAGAAATAGGAGTTTTGTGTTGAGTTAGGAAAGTTCTATAACTGTTTACACTGTATGGTAATTCTAGCTTAAGTGTTTGAGTAGAAGTACTGGATGAAAAGATTACTTTCCTTGTCTGAGGTATTAATATATTCTTTTTCACGATATCCATTGTCCATAATCAGGACAGATCGACAGAAGAGTAAAAGTTGTGTTGTTGAGCTAAAAAGCCCTACTACCTCTTAAGCTAAATATCTTTTGAGGATTAGAAGGCTGATGTTTGAATCTGAAGTTTCACGTCTTATGGAAGGTACTTTTGCTTCTGAAATAACACAACTTCACAGTCAAGAAGAGACAATTTATATCCATTTCATCCAATTATCATAATCAAATATGAATAGTGTCCATCTTTAAAATCCAAGCAATATTATTAAGTAGCTACTTGCCAGGAACACTGATAGACAATATAAAACGTTACAATATAAACATATGTGAAATCATTGATGAAAATGTTAGCATTTCATTGATGGTGGTGAACACAAGTTTTAGCAAAAGATAAAGAAAAAATGTATCACAGAAATTAATGTATCTGACATGAATTTATTTACAAAAAAATGTTCATCACCAAATAAAAATGCTAAACAAACATTTGTATGTGCTGATGCTCAATGTCAGGAAGGCAAATATTTCTTAATAAATATCTCAGTGTAACTGAATTTAAAATATTTACTATATGAGTATTTAGAAAAAATGGGTCTTCATTTTATAATAAAAAAAATGTTACTCAGTTTCCCCTTGTCTTGTGTGAACTGTTGTTTCCACTATTTCATGTTTAAGGGAAATTTTTCTGCATTTTTTATTCTCCAATACAAATATTTCATCTCAGTACAAGGGTATCAGAAAAAAAAATCCTGTGTACTCCACCTTATTTTTTTAAGAGTTCTTTGTGCATTACAGAAATTAGATCAGAGCCACAAGTGGTGGCACATGTCTTTAATTCCAGCACTCAGGAGGCAGAGACCGGCTGTCTCTGGTAAGTCAGAGGCTGGTCTCGTCTGTATTGTGAGTTCTAGGATAGCCAGGGCTTAATAGAGACACACTGTCTCAAAGCAAACAGCTAATTAATTAAATAACAAAAACCAGAACCCGAGTCTGTTCCTGAAGTAAATGTGTCATAATTGTCACATGATGGCATCGGTTCACGGTCAAACATCTCACCACGGTCCAGGTATGTAGTGTGCATGTGAATGTGTAAGTGTACTGCTCTGTAATGCTAACGTGTGCAGCATCTATTCAAAGCAGCATCAGGCCTGGAAAGCCACTTGCTGCTATCCTCATCACATTTATTCCACATTATGTTTATTTTGTATCTAAATTTGAGTTTTGGTGGGTGTGAAAAGAACTTTCCCCTTCACTTCACCATCTATCTATTATGAAATCATTTATAACAGGATAGCTTGAATTAATGAAAGCAAATGAGGATTTGAAATCAGAAGTGCTAGGTTTTAAACAAGTTTTCCCAGCTTTCCGTTTTTAAATTGGAGCAGTTCATGGTCTCTGTGACTTTTCATTTCTTTTTCTACCAATAGAAAAATAAAGATTGCTGGGTTTACTTTAGTGTAATTCTAGACTATGCAATGAATGGGATACAGATTTTGAAAGTTCTTCCTGTTCTAAAAGTGTTGTGAATTATTCATAGTTGCTAATACCGTGTTAAATGAACAATGTTATGCTTAATATCTCTTACAGTCAAATCTATCACCCAGTCCAATAACTAGTACTATTTTCATCAGGGTAGTAACAGGATTTTACATGTAAGCAATATTTAGGGTAAATATTGAAGCCTAAAAGAGAATGGATAACATCTTTTCTTTTACAAAATTATCCAATTAATGATGGAAATTTAAAGAAAACAGTTAAATGGCTCTATTTAACTTGCTTTCTTCAAAGGCAAGACTGTCATATTTATTCTGAGACTTTGAGGTCTACTATTTAGGCCTTTGTGTGTCCCTAACTGTCAAGAAATTTGACACATTAGATTTACTGTTTGTATGCAGTTGGCATTATTGTTCATCACATTTCATTTAATTGTTATGATGTCCCTAGGATATTATGTGAATATTCTTTCTCTTCAGTAATGTAGGAAACTTGATAGAGATTTTAAATTACTTCTGCTTGTCATTATTACATCTGGGTGAATGGTATAATTATATGTCTGCCTTCCTCTATTATTTCCCTCCATTATAAGACCTTGCTTTTATATTAAATTTCATTTTTCATTGTGAATTCATTTATTCCAAAAGTACATACTATTTCGCTAACACTCATTCTCTAAGAAATGAGCTTCATACGTGTTATGAAACATAAGCATCATAAGAAGATAATAAAAAGCAAAAGGAAACTCATGCTGTCTCTTAAAAGGATGCCTATGGAATGTATATCCATGAAACACAAATTGAAAGGTAGAAACTTATTCTTCAAATGACAGAAAGACCATGAACTTGTGCCAGCTTGATTTGTTTTCTCTAGAGATGAACAAATGCCATAATTACAAACCCAAGCCAAAAAAGAGGAATGCTTCTCAAGGGTGGCAGAAACAAAGATCTGCACTGCTTACCTTCCAACCCAGACAGCATGGTAAGTCTCAGGTTCCATTTGTCCCCTCCTGATGGGCTGACATCAACATAGAAACCACACCATCATCAGGGGCAATGCTTGTGCTTACCTCCCCAGGGAAGTGAGTTGTATTTGCTCTAAAATAATATTAAGAAGTAAGATCAAGTTACAGCTGATGAGATAATTTGTCATATCACCAATGAAACAAGAATTTTGGGGGTGGTCTACTTTAAGGAAGAATACCTAGAAATTGACCATAGAAAAGTAAATTTAAAAAACATCCAACTATCTTCTTAAACATGATAGAAACAATAATTTGTAGTAATTTTCAGAGACCTTTCAGAGAATGTAGTGGAGACAACCTGTACTCACACTATTTTCAAGCCAGAGTATCGTTGATATTAGAATTCGTGAAGGGGAAAACCTGAGCCTGGTGTAGTCGCACATGCCTGTTAACCCAGGACGTGGTAAGTAGAGGCAAGAGAATTGGGAGTCAAGGTTTATCCTCAGCAGTAAATAGTTCAAGGTCAGCTTGGTTACACGAGATGTCTTCACAAAAAATAAGATAGAATAAGCAATTTACAAAGAAAGATTAAAAACTAAAAAATAAGTTACTAACCAAAGTTACTTTAAAAGAAGTAATTTTAGGAATTCAGTCATGTGACATGTAATAACCAATGGCGAATGCTTATGTAATTGTGTACAAGATGTTGAATAGGCAGTGATTAAAATTCAGCACACGTTCATATTTTATGAGAATTTGATCCTCAAATTTCTATAAACGTAAGTGTTTATGGGTGTATAAACACATAAAATATACACAAAATCCCTTCCTATACTATTAAATGTTAGGAGGATTCTTCAAATATAATTGTTAAAATGCAAAAATAGAGTTATTGCCATTGTTGGACATTGTTTCAAGGTTGCTAAATTACTATTCAAGAAAAGGTAAAACTATGATATTGATCACATCAGAATTTCAAAGCAAAAATAGTATAATTGGTAAAGATATAAATCAAAATATTTGAAAACTTGCAAATGGATACTCCCTAAATGTTAAAAATAGTAGTAATAGAAATGGAATTTAGACTTACTAAAAATTAAGAAACAAATAAAAATCAATTTCTTTTCTAAATAAAATATGAACAAATGGTAATGGAAAAAACAAAGATAAAAGAAAAAGGTAGAAAACTTTTATATTAAATGTAATCTAGAAATGACTTTATTATTTAGTTAAAATTGCTAATGAACAAAGAATACAACATACAAACTGGAAATAAAAATTATTCAAAAACAAAGATAGCACCTTACAAATAAAATCTTCATATGTGTACACAGTTAACATGATTCTATTGGGATGTCAATACACCATAGTTTAAAAGTGTCACATTCTTAAAAAGCTCATTTTAAAGTTTTTGTTAAAAATGATTAGTGTGTGTGTGTGTGTGTGTGTGTGTGTGTACACACATGTGAGTGCAGGTGCTTATGGAGGCCAGAAGAGGGTGTCAAGCGCCCAGGAGCTGGACTCACAGGTTGTTGTGAGGTGGGAACAGGACTCAGGGCTTCTGGAAGAGTAGTAATCACTCTTAATTGATGAGACAGCTTTCCAGCCCTTCATTTAAAGTCTTAAGGCACAAATAAAGTGCTATAAAACCCCTGCTACACTGAAAAGGAAATGTGCTGTTGTAGGATAGACACTATGAAGCATTCAAGCATTTTATGAAGGTAAGAAAGTTGTACATGAAGAGAACAGGCAGAGTGATTAGCACAAACATGAATAATGGATATAGAGTAGAGCCATAATATACTAATGAAAGTACTTCATATAAATGACAGGACACAGGTTTATTCCATATGTAGTGCTAGAAAAATTCAGTGTGCATTCTCCAAAGAATATCTCCTATAAATTCATTTCTGGCAAATATCACACACACACAAGAATTAAATGGGCCAAATAACAGTAACTATGCAACATTGATATAAATGCATTTTATTCATAACTAAAAATGTGAGCCACAATGGGAAGTTTGAACAAATCAACCTGGGAAAAATAGGCCATTCCTGTGAAGGTATCATAACTAGAAATATTATCTGAAGCATCTGTGCAAAATTATGACAAAGTATGGTGTTATAGCCATCAAGTGAGTAGTATAGAACAAGTCAGTGTCTTAATAAAAACAAGAAAAGCCTCAGAGAAATAAAAAATTATTAAAACATAAGTAAAAATTCCTCAATTCATTCATAACAGGAAATAAAAATTAAAACAGAAAAATTTTGCCTACTAAGTCTCTATGTAAAAACATGTAAATAATTTTCACTACCGAGGAAAATGCAGTTGAGCAGAGAAGTTCATTTATTTGTGCTACTGTAAAATTAGTGTAAGCATTGTGTACTGGAATTTTCAGTCTTTAGAAAATGTAACATGGGCCGGGGGTGGTGGTGCATGCCTTTAATCCCAGCACTCCGGAGGCAGAGGCAGGCAGATCTTTGTGAGTTCGAGGGCAGCCTGGTCTCCAGAGCAAGTGCCAGGATAGGCTCCAAAGCTACACAGAGAAACCCTGTCTGGAAAAAAACAAAGAAAAATAAAAGAAAATGTAACATGGGTATGCCCTTTTATCCACTAGGTATTATAAGAAGAAGCTCCCCTACAGAAGAATTCAAAAGTAAGTATGAAACATAGTATCATTTCTAACACTGAAACTTAATATATAATTGAAATGTCCGCTGAGAAAATTAAGTCTATTAATAAACTTTGTGCAAATATCAGTGACAGAAAATACAAATATTTATGAAATTTGACCTCTTGATATGTTAAACTATGACACAATCCTGGAATACTGCCCAATCAAAAAACATACAGATATTTTACTAATACATGAAATGCATGTTTAAAAAATGAATATAAGAGTATTCATATTTAATAACTCTTACACCTACATAAAAAATAAAATTGAGAAATGTGATTTATTCTAGGAGCATAAAATATTAGCATGATCTATAATCCCACAACTCTGGATCTGAAGCAGGAGGATTGAAAATTTGTGTACAGTCTGGGGCTACATGATAGACTTTGTCTAAAAAAGAAAAAAGTTTTATATCCTTAAACCAATCGTTTCCCCATTGTTAAAAGACCCACATTGAAGCCTAATAGCCACAGTTCTGCTCTCTGTTCCCATAAGTTCATCATTTCTAGGTTACACATAAAATTGAAATTGTGTGACATTTGTCTTCCAGTGTGTCACTTATTATTATTTTTTTTGGCAAGCATATAACTTTACTACTTACTAAGGATGAATATAAAACTGCAGTTGGACAAGAGGCATGGACTCTGAAGTCTTGAGGTCTACTGAGAGCATGATAAATATGGTTGATAACAATATGCTATATTTTAAAAGTTGTGAGATAGTATACTTTAAGTGCTCTCAAAACAAAAATGATGAATATGTGTGATATAACATGTTTGTTGGTTTAATTTAGCCATGCCATTGTGAACATACTGTATTGCGTATCATAATTCATGATGATGTGGTGTGGTGTGGGGAGCCCCGGTGGAGGGCTCTACTAGCTATGGGGAGTGAAGGGGGGAAGGGGATGGTGGGGGGGATTGGTGGGAGGGGGGGAGGGAGAAGGGATTGACATGTGAAATTATAATTTGTAAAAAGAAAAGAAAAAAGAAAAGAAAAAGAAAAAAGTTTTAAAAATCTTACAAAGTCTCTTGGGAGTGGATACTGCATTTTGTATTCTTATATTTAAGGCAGATATAGAGTATTTATGCTGCTTGCCCTAAGAAAAAGTACTTCCTCATCCTTTCCATAAAAGTGAATACCAGCATTTATACTAAACAGAAGACCATTGTCCATTAGCCTTTCTTTTGCTCTGACCTTTCTTGCTTTTCTTTGATAGTATCTCCATTGTTCGTTAGCCGAGTCATTGCTGCAGCCATGGCAATACGCTTCATCATTATTACACTGATATGGTTTGCCGTTTTCATAACTTGTAAGTTAATCAATGGGGTGTAATGTGTTGCCTTGATTAGATTTCAGAAGCACACTGGGGACCAGAGAGATGGCTCAGCCAGGTAAAGATACCTCAAAAAGTTAGAAGGAAGAACTGACTCCAAAGTGTCGTTCTCTGACCTCCATACCCATTCCATGTGTACACACACACACACACACACACACACACACACACACACTTTAAAAAGTAAAGGCTGCTGGGCTTTGGTAGCGCACGCCTTTATCTCAAAAAATCAAAAAAAAAAAGTAAAGGCTAAAACAAAAGCACAGAAACACACAATAGCAATAGTGAAAGTGTCTCTTTACCATGCTGTTGCTGTTCCACAAATGTAAAAGTCACTTTTGTTTACAGTAGAAGTTACTAACTTTTTAAAATTATAATTATTTTGATAGTGTTATGCAACAATGAGGTTCCAATTTCTTCAAGAGGTGAGTACATCTTTGTAATATTAAATGCAAATTGCAAACATCTGTGTGTACCAGGATCTAGTAAATATTCAAAGGCAGTCAAAAGAAAAAAAATGAAATTTCTGGGTTTTGACTATAGCTCACTATAAACTTTATTGTTTTTAACTGTGGAGGCCATGGAATGGGTGGAAGAGCAAGTCATGGTATTGCATTCCTTAATGCCATCACTTCACACGTTGGGGCAGGAGGATCAGGAGTTCACAGCCAACCTCAGCAAAGCCAGAATGGGTAACATGAGGCCCTATCTGGAAACAAAAATGAATAAATTTTTTGCTTCATCTTATTACATTTTATTTTATCATATGTGGTTGTTATCTCTTAGAAGCCTGTTATTTTCTGATAAGAGACAGAAAGGGAGGGGATCTTCAGGAGAGGAGAGGTGGGAAGAATTAGGAGTAGGGGAAGGGAAACTGTGATCAGGATATATTGTATGAGAAAAATATAGATTTTTCAGTAAAAGAAAAATAATAAATAAATAGTAGAAAATCCTTAGTTTGGGGATCTTCCTCCCTTTATATTATAGTAGTTTCATTATTTAAAATTTGAGATTGGAACAGGAAATGTGTTTAACTTGCCTAGATAAATTCTGCTTCAATAGTCAGGTTGCATAGAGTTAATCTATTCTCTTTCTAGAAGGTTACTGTGATCAATGTCCTAATGACTGGATATGTTATAGAAACAACTGCTACCAATTTTTTAATGAGAACAAAAACTGGAAACAGAGCCAAGCTTCGTGTTTGTCTCAAAATTCCACCCTTCTGAAGATATACAGCAAAGAGGACCAGGTTGTGTATTTAACTCCATTTAATTCTAATACATGAGGTAGGAAACTCACTGGAGCATGAACCTGGAGCTTATAAGAAACAAGAAGATGTTCTAACACCCACTCCAGACAATGTTGATAAAAATTGAGGAGGTAGGAGCTGGGAAGAGGGCTCGGTGAGCTAAAGTGTTTGTTCTCAAAACTTGAGAACTGTATATGAACACAACACCACCCATTAGGCATTGCTGCACATGTCCGTAACCCCAGCTCTAGGGTCATAGACAGGTAGATCCCAAAAGCTCCTGGCCAGGCAGCTGAGCTAAAAAGGTGAGTTTTTGCTTCAGTGAGGGATCATGTTTCAAGGCAATAAGCCAAGGAGCAATGAAGATATCTGATGTCTTGTCCTACCTTTTGTGTGCAGAATGTTCTGCTGCACACTCATAAGCATACACACTACACAACTGTAGACCACCCCCAAAGACAGAAAAAATAAGGGAGCAAAGATAGTTTGTAAGTACCTATGGTTAAATGAGAATTATGTTGGGCACTGAACAACGCATCCTTCCCCAAGCAGGAAGTGAGTGATGTGACTTTGTGTTTCTAATGCTCTAAGCGCAGCTTTCTTCTGTACTTTTCTTGTGGTTTCTAATAGGATTTCTTTAAGTTGGTGAAGTCGTACCACTGGATTGGACTATTCCAGACTCAAGCAAATGGCTCCTGGCAGTGGGAAGATGGCTCCACTCTCTCACCCAACCAGTGAGTCTCAGACCAGCAGGTTTTGAGCTGGGTATCTGCTCAGCTGTCCCTGTGAGCACTCGTTTGTCAGTTTCACTTTCACAATCTGATGCAGTAACATATTCTAATAGAGTTAGAAAAATATTAGACCCTCAGTTTAAAGCTTAGGGAGAGTAGCAGAGAAGCATAAATTGATTGCTATGGGCTAAGTACTGAGAAAGATCAATCTTATATTATGTCCATTTTATAGATAGAAGGCTGAAGCTTATATTTGTGACTAGATTATGAAGATAAAACTATACATCCCTAGTGCCCTCCTTTCTGGTTTTTTGTTTGGGTATTTTAAAATATAAAGTGATTTATTGCCAACTGTAGCCACTCTATTGTATAATGGAACAATAGAAATTGCAAATTCATGAGGCCCCAAATATGTTAAATACCTTTCTATGATTGATACATGACTTTACATGTATCCCATCATGAGGTTATATCCCACAAATGCATACAATTATAGTGACAATTTAAAAATTAATAATGAATATGTTAATGTGCTTGGATTGAAACCAACAAAGAAATTACCTAATAGAAATTTCCCTGCAGGTACCAGCTATTTGTACCTATACCAATCATATTTCATACCTCCTCCTGTTAATTGGGTTAATATCAGATCATTGTCTTTTTAGTTTTCAATTCATGCTAAAATGACATTATCACTTTCTTGAGTCTTCTATTTCTGACTTTTTCTTAGAGGAATAAAAAGTTCATTTAGTATATTAATCCATGGAATTCCAAATGCCAAGACAAAAGTAAAACACACGCATTCACTTGCATACACACATGTGTGAGCACACACATGCCACACTAACACACACACCACATACATCACACATGCATGTGCACACACTCACACATACATACCATGCATGTGCACACACACGTCACATACACACATACACACATGCATATACAACACACATATGGATGTATGTTGAGGATATTACAAATACTTTTGATTATTTATCAAGTATATTGTGTATGCAGTCACCCCTTGGTAGCCATGAGTGAGTGAGTCCAAAGTCTCACTCTCTCCATAGACACTAAATTCCATGAATGATCATCATCTATTTTCAGAATGGTGTAGAATCTGCTTGTGAAATATGGACGATTCTCAACAATTTAAATCATTTTATATTGTATAATTGTATGTATTAAATAACACAATATTGAATAATTGTACATATACTATATGTTATATACAATACCAAGTAGAATCTAAATATTATGCAAATAATTCTCACACTGATTCTTTAGGAAATCAAGACAAGATACAAAGGACATCTTCAATATAGACGTAGGCTTTGTTTATTTTATTTATTATCTGCAGTCAATTGTATGTGACAATGGTAATCTGTTTACCTGTGGAAAATTGTTTATTTTTACACAAAACACTACAGCAATGAAATTGTAAGTTTAGTTCTACATCCATTTCTAACCTCAATATTTACTACTAAATAAATGTTTTGAAGCACTATAGAGAATATTTACTATTAAATAAATGTTTTGAAGCATTATAAAGAATTTAAAATTTTGAGGTGATTAATTTCTGATATGAGCACAAGAGCTGAGCAGTAGTGGTGAATGCCTTTAATCCCAGCACTCTGAAGGCAGAATCAGGTGGATCTCTGAGCTCAAGGCCAGCCTGGTCCACTTAGAGAGTTCCAGGACATTCAGGGCTAAGCAGAGAAACCCTGTCTCCAAAAACAAAAACAAGGGCTGGAGAGATGACTCAGGTAAAGAGCACTGACTGCTCTTCCAGAGGTCCTGGGTCCAATTCCCAGCACCCATCCACATGGCAGCTAAAAACTATCCGCAACTCCAAGATCTGACACCCTCACACAAAACATACATCCAGGCAAAACACTTAATGCAAATAAAAAATACATAAAAAAACAGCTCTTAAAAAAACAACAAAAACAAAAATCCAAAAGAAGACATTTTTATTTTTTATTTATTATCTAAATGGGCTCTATTTTGTATGTGTGTAAGTTAGGAGGGCTAAACTTGGTCCTAAAATGATGTGAAATATATCTGAAATTCCCACGACAAATCCTATAAATAATATTCCAAGTTTATATCCTCCATCGAACATTGGACGTCAAATGTGGTTCTTTGTGTTCCAGCTTAACACTGGTGGAAATGCAGAACGGATCCTGTGCTGTCTATGGCTCGAGCTTTAAAGCCTACACAGAGGACTGTTCAGCTCTAAACACGTACATCTGCATGAAGAAGGCAGTCTTGGGACTTCATTAACCATCGGCAGCACCCAAGGCAGGAGAGAGGATTGTCCTGGGAGAAACTGAAGCCAAAAATAAAAGAGACAGAACACAAAACAGCACAGCTCCGTCTTCCAGAAACAAGCCCCGGAACTCGCTTACCATTCTGAGCCCCATAAACAAGGGACGCTAACTCAAAGATCATCAAGGCTGCCATTCACATCATTCCCCGGTCAGCCTAGGATGCGGGGAAGGAGGGAGGCAATGGGGAGCCTCAATTTCAAAATGGGACCAACACTAGGAGAGCTTAGAGAGTGGGCGAAGGCAGCCCTGTAGCACCCAGGCAGCTGAAGCTCCAGCACTATAGAGAAACGCAGATGGAGTGGGGCTGCAGTAGAGAACCACAGGGTAGTCAGCTCTCTGCCCCAGCAGTGTTGCCATCCCAGTGGTGCAAGAAAGCCAGCTTCTGTCTGGGGGAGCATGTTTTGAGCAAGGGCAAGCAGGACTGCTTTTGGAACTTGAAGATACCGTGAAGCTCGCCTTGTGACTTTTTCTCTGTCTTGGGACTCCACCACTCCCTTTTCCTTGTGTTTTGCTCTTGAGATGACAATGGCTTTTGAAGGCCAGTCCCACCACTGAACTTTGAAAATTGTTTCTTTTTACAAGTCACAACTAGAAAGGAGTTTTGACTATCTGATTCACATCTGATTTGGGCCAAATTTAGTTGAGTCCTTGAACTTGAAGTTTGAAGGGTGGTGATGGATGGAGTTGGAAGCTCTGAGGTTGTTAAGGTCGAATGAATTGGGTATAATGTTATATTATGTGCATGTCTAAACTTCATATTTGAAATCCCAACTCCTGGTATTTTTAATACTAGGAGACAATCGTTGGAACATAATGTTTTAAGTCATGAGCATGAAGCCTTTGTGAGTGGGATTGTCTCTTAAGACAACACCGGCAGAGACTACTTCCTCTTCTTTTGACCACAAGAGAATACAGGAAACTTCTGAAGTACAACCTACAAGATGCCCTCACCCAACCCAACAGATGCTGTTATTCCAGTCTTAGGTTCCCAGGTTTCATTATTCTGAGAAATGGATTTCTATTTACCACTTTTCTGGGTATTTTATAATAGTATCACAAATAAGCTGAGACCAGAAGGCGAGGCAGCCAGATAGTAGGTCTCATTGAAATCTAATAAGGAAGGCTGGACAGGTGGCTCAGAGGTGAAGAGCACTGGCTTCATTCTCAGCCCCTTCAGGACAGTTCACACCACCTTGCCTCCAGTTCCGAAGGATCCAACACTCTCTTCTGGCTCCTGCAGGCACCTGCGTGCCCATGGGGTACAGGCAAGCATGAAGACAAGCACTCACACATAAAATAAAAACAAATCTGAAAAAAAAAAGATTTATGATATTGTCGTATATAGAAAAATTCTGAATCAACAAAGCAGGTAGAAAGATCTGTAGAATGTCATATGTAAATAAAACAGGGAGTCACAAGAGAAAAGCAACTACAGAACCTGGCTTCCATCTGAGAGGTTATAGCAGACATGGGAAGCCTTAGATTGCTGTTTTGAAAGTTATTGTGCCTCATTAGAAACCTGAGATTTAGCTTAGGGATCATCTGAACAAGGGATTTCCCCAAAGGTTACATGCTTATAAGCAAGAAATAAACAAATCAGACCCACACTCTAGAAAGTGGCAACAACGATCCTTGCTATCTTTACCTCTAAGAAGACGAGAGGTGGGGAATGGGAGGCAAATCTCCATGAAGAATCTGTAGCCATGAAAGAGCCTTCATTTAAGCTTACAGCCCCATATCTGGCTAACGGTATTTTTGGTAAAAGGTGTCTGAAGTGCAAGGTAGCTAACAGTCTACAAGCAACACTTCATTTTATAAGTCCAGCATGCAGCCGCTGTGCAATACAGCCACCCAGCAACACCTTGTTTTTTAAAGAAAATAACTTCAACTCACCCCTTTAAGATTTTTCACACATAGCCTGTACAGTAAAACAGAAATTGCAAAACAGTGGTACTAAAGACTAGGGGCAGTTATTAGCTAACAGCAGTGTTTTAGTATCCAGGGAATCCAGGTGAGGGGTAGTATTTAATTCATTGAATAATGAAAGAAAGATAATCTTAAAACTCATAAGAGAGAAAAAATAAAGGCCATTCCTGTTTCACACACTTTATTTACTTTGGAAATCCAAAAATCAGTCAATAAAATGCCACTTGTTTCCATACTCAGTTTAGACAGCCATAAACATAAAAGCCAGACTACAATGCAAGGCAGGCTGATACAACAGGCTACAGAGGAGGGAAATTATGTTCTGATAGCAGTTTCAGTAACTTTTCCAGAACTAGGGTTCTTTAAAGACATTTTAATAAAGAAAACATGAGAACAAAGTATAACATATTTAAATATATTTCATGATGTGCTCAGAAAATGACTGGATATTTCTATAGTGACCATCTCCAGTTTCATGCAAAGAACATTATACTTGGTCAGGAAGTTGTTTGAAATGTAAACAGATTCTACTGTGGCTAGGGGAAAGCCAACTTAAGACCTTGTGGTTATGTTTAAGTAGATAAGCTCTCCAGACAAGTGACTCACAGGCATGAAAGCAGTTGCCATTAGATGTACTCGGTCTTTTTCAGAAGGACCGTTGGCTCCCAGTAATGACCTGGAGACTTACTATTAATTATGAAAGCTTAGCTTAGGCTTGTTCCTAACTAGTTCTTATAACTAAATTGAGGAATATTTTTTGATATACCTTCTTTTATGTGGTTATTGAGAGGACAGGGTGGGGCAGACTACAGTCAAGACAGGCTCTCCTAGCAGTCCTGACAGACACCAGACCTTAGTTTCAGTTCCCTGCAACTGGTCAGAGCGGAGCAAGCAGCTCTCAGGAAAATCACAACTGAGGGGCAACCAATAAGCCTTCTCCTGGCTCAGAACCCCTTTGCTGGATCAGCAGGTGCCCCCAGCCTTTTGCTAGCTAAAGATAGCTTTCCCTACCCCTAACCACTAGGCCTCCCACCAATCAGCTTTCACAAATCAGCCCCCAGATTAATTTTTCCTCTATCAACATCCCCAGATTGATCCCTCCTCCCAGAATCCCTCTAACTCCACTTAAAAGGAGCCTGTAACATTCTTTGGGGGTCACTATTTGCTACCCCAACTTGTTAGAAACAATATATATGCCCTTGCTTATTGCTTAGTTGGCTGCTAGTCTTTTCTTAAGGACATCTCTTGGACCCTAACAGTTACCATTACTCTGCGTACCCCATCCTCCTTCCTCTCTGTCTTGCTGGAAACTCCGCCTTTCTCTTTCCAGAGACTTCTCTGTCCTCAGAAGTCCTGCCTAACATCTTCCTACCTAGCTAATGGCCATTCAGTTCTTTATTAAACCAGTCACAATGACACATCTTCACACAGTGTAAAGGAATATTCCCCAATAATTAGAGCAGTTTAAAACTTAACCCACTTTCCAATGCTATGTGCAGAAGCTGCCCTGAAATGTCAAGGCTCCCTGTGGCCCCAGATCCAGAAAGACAGCATTCACTTGACACTCCTTTCTCTTCAGTTCCCACCGGCTGCATGGAAAGATTGGAAAATCAGAGTTGACCCTGATCAGACATGTCCGCTGTCTGTCATAGAGGGGTGGGGGTCTGCCAAGAACCGGGGATGCTGGAGGACTCTAGAGAGGACACTCTGCTTCTAGAGTGACAGCAAAAGCCCTAGATCCAGCATTCTGATGGACAGAGCCCAGCACTGGTTCTAGAAAGGCTGTCAGACCAGTAGTGGCAACACAGCAAAGGGCTTTATTGAAGCATTAGCACACTCAGGAAAACAGAAGTCTAGGGAGTTAACCTCTTTCTCCAGGGTGCTTATACCAGCAGGAAAGAGAAACAAAGTAAGGGTCAGTGGGGTTCTGTGGTATCCATCCTGGTTGTCTTGATCTGGCTTTATTGATAATACTTTGAGCCTTTATCCCAGAATCCTCCATGTGGTGCTAGGGGACAAATAAAGAAAATGTCTGTTTCTTAGTGTCTCTTCTTCATCTTAAAATTTCACCTATCAGGCCTGTTGTTCTTAAGATACAAAGTAATTGTAGGGAAAAAAAAGTCCAGGAGATGGCAGGCATGGTGATGTATGCCTTTAATCCCGGCAAGCAGTTCCTATGAGTTTGAGGCCAGCCTGGTTAAATAGTGAGTTCAAGACCAGCCAAGGATACATAGTGAGACCCTGCTTTATAAAACAAACAGCAGTCCAGGAGAGATTAGAACCAAGAAAGAGAAACAAGATGTCATCAGAAGAAAAACATATTTAGCCAGTTAGTGTCTGAGAATTCCTGTGTTTTCCTCTTTTGAGATTTTCCTGAGTAAATGAGGGAGTTTTGTTTCTCTTTGAGACCAGACACAATCCCATGTATTATCCTGACTCTAGGAACAAGGTAAAGACAAGCAGCCAGCAGCAAAGTATTTAAACATGCTGACTACTCTACACCATTTTGGGGCCTAGCACCCCAAGCTACCCCATTTGTTCTAGGCATGGGAAGAGGAGCTCAGCTGCTCTCAGGGGAAAAGACAGGATCCCTGGCTGCCCATGCTCCACTCTGAAAATAGTTAATGACATTTGATTCTAGAAGTGAAGCAGGAAACCACCTTGTGACCTGACTCCACAATGTACAAAGTTGAAGACCTCTGCTGGCAAACAGGAAATTGCTTCACATGTGAGATCTCACTGATACCAGGCAGATACCACAGAGATGGGGGCAGGGAGCCTACCCACCCAAGGAATGGGCAACACCCACTAACTCAGATCGCCCCCAAATAAAAAGCCTTGAAAATCAGTTGAAAATTAGCCAGATACATTCTACACCAGGAACTGAAAAGCAACTATTAATGCTTTAACGGCTGAAGCAGAAAGGGTGACAATCAGCATGACCAGAAGAGACAATCCGGTAGATGTGTGAGATGTATAAGAAGCATGAAACAGAAATGTACACAGTAAAGGCATGGATGAATGACT